AAAAAAAAAAAAAAAAAAAAGGTTGATTATCCTAACTGTTACCTATTTACATTTGATTTGTACAAACACATTAATATATATTAATTGGCACATTAATATATATTTCTGATGTGTGGTTACAGATATTGGCTGCTTTACAGTAACTTCAAACATGTCTCATTCAATCAAATATTATTGCAAGAAATACCTATTTAAAAAAATAAAAATAAAAATAAAAAGTTTTTCATAATTTATGTCTGTAGGTGGAGCCCACAATGCAGCAGTATGAGCTAGACACTTTTGGGAAGAGTCATGACCTGATGTCCAATTTTTGGAATTCCTGCTTTGATGCCCTCATGAGCACTGCACAGAGGAGAGACAAGGACCGCTCCGACTGCAAAGCCAAGTTTCAGGTGTCTGTTAACACCATTTATTCAAACACCGAGGGAATATGTTGGGCTAGTAAACAAAAATTGGTGTTCAATCCCCACACAGAGCAGACCATGAGTTTCTACTGCTTGGGGATACTGGGATTATTCATTGCACATCTCAAACCCCAACCAAACCATACATGTTTTTATGACAGATGAGTTAATAACATGGACTGTTTGTGTTCCTCTCTTTACAGGAGCTCATCATTGACACGTACCTGAAACGAATGCGCACAGAGAACAGCCGCTACCACAGTGTGCAGAAGATGATTAACAGCCAGCAGGGGGTGGTGTGGAGGCACTGGAAATCACTGCGCAGGTTACTGAGCTGTGAGAGAAGAGCCTGGGCACTCAGGTCTGCATACATTCAAATGTTTTGATTCTTAGTGAATATTAGGCATTGATGTATTTTTTGTCGTTTATCTCCCATTTACTTTGCACCATTATCACTATCAGAATAAAAAAATAAATAAGTAATATATAGAGAGAGAGAGATTTAAAGGGATAGTTGACCCAAAAATAAAAATTTGCTGTTAATTTACTCACCCTCAGGCCATCCAAGATGTAGGTGACTTTTTTTTTTCTTCAGTACAGTAAAGAAGAATTTTAGTTGAAACCGTTGTCCTTGGTGATTCATAAAATGCAAGTCAATGGCTACCAGCATTTTGAGAGTTAAAAAAGCAACATAAAATTAATTCTGTGGCTCCTGAATATATATTTAGGTCTTATGAAAAGAAATGCTTGGTCTGTGCAAGACAGTGAACATTATGTACATTATATCATCAGGAGCTACGGGTATTAATTTTGTGTTGCTTGTGTTGCTTTTTCGACTCTCAAAGTGAGTCGCCAAAGACCATGGTTTAAGCTAAAAATCTTCTTTACTGTTCTGCTGAGGAAAAGTCACCTACAACTTGGATGGCCTGAGGGTGAGCAAATTAAGAGCACATTTTCATTTTTGGGGTGAACTATCCCTTTGAGATAAATACGATTTAAGTGATGTCCAAAAACCTGAGACTACATTGGAAATCTGGGATTTCAAATTTCATTTAAACCTGGAAATATAGACATGGGGATTTTGGGGGATTTAAAAAAATATATAAAACTTGACTTAATGTTTATGTAGGATTTTTCACTCATTTTGGGTCACTAAAATCTATTAAATTAAATATATAAAATCCCAAATAGAAGCAGTCAGACTGTTTTGTCTGACTGTTGTAGCTCACTGTGTGAGGGTTGGGTTGTATACACTGATGCTGTATATGAAGGTATTATATTGTGGTGTGTGTGATGATGGACTGAGTGGAAGTGTTTGTGTTTCAGGGTTCAGCCAGAGGTGAACTGGAAACTGTCGAGCGCAGAGACGTACTCTAAGATGCGTCTGAAGCTGGTGCCAAATTACAGCTTTGACTCCCACAGTGATGCCAGCGCACTGAGAGATAACATGGGTCAGTATCACTCTGGAAAATGTCTGTGTAATCTGTTAAATGAATATTAATGAATTAACGATATTTAAGAATATCAATAGTGAGTAAAAGTTGGTACTGTTTACTGTTGGTAAAATCATTTTGCTAATAATCTTTGTCCGCTTGAACTCCCTGTTATTTCACTGTTAATATTTATATATTGGAGTGTTTTGGTGTGTTTTTTTCTGCAGGAGCCGACAGCCCTCGCAGCTCAACCGAGCCCATCCCTCTTGCTGTTGCAAAGGAAGCCAAAGTTAGTGACATGGAGGATGACAAACTAGAGGATTTTGAAGATTTTGTCTTCATTGATGAGTAAGTGTTTTCATGTAACTCTGAGACACATTTGCTTTGTAAAGTAAGTTATCTAAACCAGTTGATATAATATATAAGTTGATATAATAATAATAATAATAAGACGAACATATCACATTCATATTTACATTTAGTCATTTAGCAGACGCTTTTATCCAAAGCGACTTACAAATGAGGACAATAGAAGCAATCAAAATCAACAAAAGAGCAATGATATGCAAGTGCTATAACAAGTCTCAGTTAGCCTAACGCAGTACACGTAGCAAGGGTTTTTTCTTATTATATAATAAATAAAAAGAAAACAGACAGAATACAAAAAGAATAGAGAAGCTAGTGTTAGTTTTTTTTTTAAAGGAAAAAAAGCAGTTAGTAAATAAATAGAGGGCAAGTCTAAAAAGGGCAAGTTTTTTTTTTTTTTTTTCAATTATGGTGTCTTCAAATGTAGCTTCAAATGTCTTTTTTTCAAAATCTGAACTAGGTTGTTCTAAATATCAGCACGGCCCAATAAGTTTAATAAACAAGAAGTTAATATTGATTAACTTACCAGTGTTATTTTAGATTTATTGATATAAAGTTACAGTATTTATTATTATATTGAATTGATTTATTTTTATATGTTCAGTTTTAATTTTAATTATACTTAAAGTTTTAGTAATTTTGTTACATTTGTTACATTTTTTTAATTAATTTTAATTTCAGTTTTAGTCATTTTTGTACAGCAGCTTATTTCAGTTAGTTGCCAAAACAACATTTCTCATTTTTGTTTGTACGTTTTTCTTGTGATATTTATAGTTTATTTAATTTGAGCTTTATTTCAGTTACCAAACACATTGTTTTAATAGTTTTGGTTTTAGTTAACAAAAGTCTGTTTAGTCTATTTATACTGCAAATAATTCCTCACTGAAGTCAAAGCAGAATTAACTGTTACACGTTCCAGTAGACGCACAGTAGTGGTGTTTCGTTCCTGAATGAATCAGTGTTTTTGAATGAATTGTTTGAGTAATGATTCAGCCTTTTGATGCCTGCAAAGGCTTTGTGTGTACAGTTTTTGAGATGTGTTTAGTGTGATCGAGTGTATGTTCAGCAGGGTGTGGTTGTGTGTGTCATTCCTCAGGGCGGAGGAGGGCGAGGAGGAGAGCCAGAAGGAAAAGCTGGTGCTCTCAGAGGAGTGTGAGCTCATCACTATTGTTGCCGTGGTACCAGGTCGTCTGGAGGTCACAACGCACCACCTGTACTTCTACGATGGCAGCAGTGAGAAAGAGGAGACAGAGGAAGGTGAGTAACAGCTTGTATTGCGTAGTACATCCATCATACCGCCCAGCTCGTTTTGTTTGTCTCTCTGATAAGCCTCCATTCATTGTTCACATTATGAATGTCTGTACACTACCAGTCAAAAGTTTAAAATAATGATTTTTTTTTAATGTTTCATTAAATAAGTCTCTTATGCTCGCCAAATCTTCATTTATTCAATCACAAATACATTAAAAACAGTAATATTGTAAAATATAATTATTATTATATTTTTTTATGCATTTTTTTTTTTTTTTTAGATTTATTTTTGGCGTTTTATGCCTTTTTTATTTAGATAGGACAGTAGGTCGACAGGAAGCGAAGTGGGTGAGAGAGAGAGGGGGGTGGGATCGGGAAAGGTCCACGAGCCGGGACTCGAACTCGGGACGCCCGAAGCGCAAAGGCGCTACATGTTACTATTTAATGCATTTTAAACTATAATTTATTACTGTGATTTTTTTGCAGCCATCTTCGGTCACATGATCCTTCAGAAATCATTCTAATATGCTGATTTGATGATTATTAACAATTATTATTGATGATCAATTATTGGTAATTTTTATTATTATCAGTGTTGAAAACCGTTTTTGCTGATTCATATTTTTGATGATTAGAGAGCTCAAAAGAACAGCATTTATTTGAAATAGCAAAAACTGTTTTCAGTATAATAATAAGAAATGTTTGAGTGGCAAATCAGCATATTAGAGTGATTTCTGAGGGATCATGTGACACTGAAGACTGGAGTAATCGCTGCTAAAAATTCAGTTTTGCCATAAAAAGAATAAATTGAATTTTAAAGTATAAATTTGTAATAATATTTCACAACATTACAATTTTTCATTAAATAAATGCAGCCTTGGTGAGCATAAGAAACTTCTTTCCAAAACATTCCAAAAATCTTAATTATTCCAGACTTTTGACTGGTAGTGTATGGGATAAGATATGATTAATGATTCTAATGTGAATGCTCTGGACTGCCCATCTTTGCAGGCATTGGGTTTGATTTCAAGAGGCCGTTGTCACAGCTAAGGGAAGTCCACCTGAGGCGCTACAACCTGCGGAGATCGGCATTAGAGCTGTTCTTCATCGACCAGGCACACTACTTCATCAACTTCAGGAAAGGGGTGAGCTAGACACATACTAACTGCTATACTGCAAGAGAAACTACAGTGGAACAGGATGCTGCATAGTAGATGGCCAGAAGCATTGTTGGGATTTTGTGTTTTTATATTTGTTTTGGTTCTCCAACAGGTCCGGAACAAAGTCTACTCCAGGATCCTAGGTCTCAGACCACCCAATCTCTTCTACTTTGGTTCTCGCTCTCCTCAGGAGCTCCTGAAAGCCTCCAACCTGACTCACGTACGTCTGATGTGATGCCAGTATTTTCCATTTTTGCTGGTTGGACTCATTCCTGCTCTCTCCCAATCCAATTCCTCCCTTTTTTCCCATAGTTTCCTATGCCCTCTGTGCTGTATCTGCCAACAAAAGCTGTCAAAAAGCCTCACCCCCCAAAACGTCCAGATCTAACTATTGTTTATTTTCATTTTTGTTTCTATTGCAGAGATGGATTTGCAGAGAGATCTCCAATTTTGAATATCTGATGCAGCTCAACACCATTGCTGGTCGCACATACAATGATTTATCCCAGTATCCAGTGGTGAGTTGTCACACAGCTAGCATTGATTTGGTTTTGTTTTGTAATTTTTGTTTGCCATTTTTTTTTGTTCTGTTCTGTTCTTTGTTTTTTGTTTTGTTTTCTTTTGATTGTTTTTTTTTTTCTTCTTTTGTTTTGCTCTGTTCTGTTTGTCTTGTTTTGTTTTGTTTTGTTTTGTTTTGTTTTGTTCTGTTTGTTTTTTGTTTTGTTGTGTTGTGTTTTGGTTTGGTTTTTTGCTTTTGTTTTCCACACTGCTTGTCCTATGCAGTATCACAGGGATGCTATAGCCTAACCAGCATCTCAGGCTGAATTTATGTATTTTATTTCACTTAGTTTTTCAGTCTTTAAATTTCATTTAAAAAAGTAATTTATTGTTTATTTTAGTAAACCAAGATTTCACAGAATTTATTTAAACTGGGTGATTAATATGCATTTAATATCCAAAAAAAAAATGTGCGTGACTGACACTTCTGGTGTTGGTGGATATTATATGGGTCACATGTCTTCTTTTTTCTTCATGTGCATGTCCGTATTCTCAGTTCCCCTGGGTGCTGTGTGACTACACATCTGCTGAATTGGATCTGGAGGACCCAGCTGTTTTCAGAGATTTGTCCAAACCCATTGGTGTCGTCAACCCTCGACATGCACAGAACGTCAGGGAAAAGTGAGACAGTGTTTCAGTCCTTTTTGCAGAATTCTCAGTATCAAAGAATGTTGTTAAAAGATGCATCACAAAACTAGAAAATACCACAAGCTGATATCTACATGATTTATAAATATATTTAAATTTGTAAATAATAACAGTATGTTCTATAATAAGATAAAGCAGTGTAATGTAGCATCTTTTGAGTATTTAATCTGATTTTCTAAATGTGTTTTTGTTGTTGTTGTTGTTGTTTGATTAGGTATGAGAGTTTTGAGGATTCAACAGGCACTATCGATAAGTTCCACTATGGCACACACTACTCTAATGCTGCCGGCGTCATGCACTACATGATCCGCACAGAGCCCTTCACCTCATTACATATACAGCTCCAGAGCGGCAAGTAAGACACACACTCACACACCACTGCGCTCATACTGCAAGCTAAAGCCAGGGGTGTCCAATCTTGCTCCTGGAGGGCCACCTCTAGTTCAAACACACCTGAACCAGCTATTCAAGGTCTTCAGGATTACTAGAAACGTACAGGAAGGTGTGTTGGGGCAGGTCAGAACTAAACTCTGCAGGATGTTAACCCTTCAGGAGCAGGATTGGACACCCCTGCTCAAGGTTTTGTTTTTTGTTTTTTTTTGTCCTACTGGAGACATTTGAACACACATGTTGTATGTGTTTATTCATTCCAACGGTGCCTGAAGTACAAATGGAAATTTGACTCTAAGTTTAATGGTTTTAATTCTCCAAAAAAACATGAAGTGTCCATACAGGAATGTAGATCACCAACATCAAATTGTGAATATTCTGAATATTAATAACATTTTAAATATTGTAAATAAAATGTTATGCTTGTTGGCTCTCCATAGTATTGACCACTAGGTTGCAGTGTTGTTTACTTGATGGTTTTCAAGTAATCATGTATATTGTCCTATGTTTGGGCTGCACTTACAAGAGTGATTGTGTGTGTGCTTAGGTTTGATTGTGCCGATAGGCAGTTTCATTCAGTAGCAGCAGCATGGCAGGCACGAATGGAGAGTCCAGTTGATGTGAAGGAGCTCATCCCAGAGTTCTTCTACTTCCCAGATTTCCTGCAGAACATGAACAGTCAGTGTGCCTCTCTGAAGCTTCTCAGTGATGAAAACTACACTGGCACTGAATTATGTTGGATTGATGGATTTTGAATTGTAATATGTCATGTGTGCAGGTTTTGATCTGGGCTGCTTGCAAATCAGTCAGGAGAAGGTCAATGATGTGTTGATTCCCCCCTGGGCGTCTTCGCCTGAAGACTTCATCAGGAAACACCGCAAAGCTTTGGTGGGGAAACAGACACAATGCACAATGCACTGATTTCAAAACATACATACTAAACAAAACAATCAATTATTTTTGTAACCTTTATTTTGTAAATATGTTTTGTGAAATACAAAATACTATTAAAATACCACAGTCTTACAAGTCCAGTGAGTGAGTCGGATGTTTCCGTTAACTGCTCTAACAAATTCAAGTAATTTGTTAGACTGATTCAAACTTTTAGAATGAGTTGTGGAAGGAATAATTCACCTAAAAATTTTAATTTGCTGAAAATGTACTCATCCTCAGGCCATACAAGATATAGATGAGTTTGTTTCTGCATCTGAAAAGATTTTTGAGAAAACTTGCATTACATCACTTGCTCACCAGTAAATCTTCTGCAAGTGAATGGGTGCCGTCAGAATGAGAGTCCAAACATCTGATAAAAACATCACAATAATTCACAAGTAATCGTCATGACTCCAGTCCATTAATTAACTTAACTTAATCTTGTAAAGTGAAAAGCTGCAGTAAACTAATCCATCATTAAGCTGTTTTAACTTTAAATCTGGCCAAAATACCAGTCTATAATCCATAATAACGCTTCCTGTTTTGGACTGTTTATGTTTGTAAACAGTGCTTGATCTGTGCATATTTCTCGCCTGATTCAGAAGAGATGACTTTTTCACTGGAGAAAGCAATACTATGGATAGAGGACTAGTATTTTAGCCAAAAGCAACGGTTTAAAGTTAAAAACATCTTATTGATTAATTTATTTATTACAAACATGCAGCTTTTCACAAGATGTTAATTGAGGGACTGGAGTTGTGTGGATTACTTGTGGACTGTTGATGTTTTTATCAGCTATTTGGAGATCATATTTGGGTAAACTACTCCTTTAAAAAGAATCAGCTCAAAAAGTCATTTGTTTGTGAATCGGCCAACATTTGTGCAATGATTTTCGGATGCGTCCAGCAAAGAAAACTGACACAATCTCTTTGTGCATCTGTGTGTTTAAAGGAGAGTGAGCATGTGTCTGCTCACCTACACGAGTGGATCGATCTCATATTCGGGTATAAGCAACGAGGACCTGAAGCGGTGGAAGCTCTCAATGTCTTCTACTACTGCACTTATGAGGGTAAGAGAGCTCTTATGAGTTTGTATTAGTTTAAACATGTTCCTGCATGGAAAATATGACTGATCGCTGTGTGTTTTGGCTGTCAGGTGCAGTGGATCTGGACGCCATAGCTAATGAGACCGAGCGCAAGGCCCTTGAAGGCATCATCAGCAACTTTGGCCAGACGCCCTGTCAGCTTCTCAAGGTGGGACATCAGACAGATGTTTCCATCTCTAGTCAGCATAAACTTCATTTTATATGAGCTTCCAGGTCTGAAGAGTGTTATTTATATAGTACGATAGTAATTAGTAATATTTTGAATTTGCTTTTATTTTTGTTTTCAGTTTTCATTTGAGTAATCTTATGTGCTTTTGTAATTTATATTAGTTTTTTTTATATTACTGTTTATTTTTATTTCAGTTTTAGTTTTAATTTATGTCAAGTTAGTCATTTTAGTGCTTCAACTTCAGCTTATTTCAGTTTGTTGCCAAGGCAAGTTTTTCATTTCAGCTTTATTTCAGTTAACAAAAATGCATTTAATATTTTCAGTTTTAGTTAACGCTAAAAACCTTGGTTCTGAAAGCATTTGTGTAATGTATTGTGGGTAGTATGTCACAAGTGAAACCTCTCTGTGTAATTCAGGAGCCCCATCCTCCCCGTATGTCAGCAGAGAACGCATTCAGGCGGCAGGCCCGTCTGGACATTCTGCCTCCCAACCTTTTTGATCAGCTCACTAAACTCCGATCTTTTAAAGAGGTGAGCCCCAATTTATCAGTATTTCATTTGAGCTGAATAATATGCTGAAATGCAACTTTTTGAGCACCATGTGCTAATGGTTTGATTTAAGGAGTTGTTGTGTGAAACTGTGATTTGAGTTGTTTTTGATGTTGGTTCACATAGGTGGTGAGTGATGGTCTGCCTTTAGTCCAAGCCGTGGTGCCCAGAAATCAAACCCGCTCCTTTATCATCCCTGGTTCTGATGTACTGGTGAGATTATTTCACGATTATGTTCACTTGTCACGTACTAATATTTGAATAAGATCAGAACCAGTCTTGAGGATCAAGAGAGTCTGTGGAAAAGGGGGTTAGTACAGTGGTTCTCAACCATGGGGCCAGGGGCCACTAGGGGGCCTCAGCAAACTTTCAAGAGAGCCTTAAGATGACTTAAAATGATGTAAAATAAGGCTATGTTTACACGACAACGATGTAGTCAAAAACGGAAAAGTTTTTCCCTTGCGTTTTTAAAAGTTTTACATATACATGGCAACGTTTTCAAAAACGGCCAAAAACGCTGTATTATGTATGCCAGGCCAGTAGTTGGCGCTGTCACCTTGTTAGTAAACCGTACCTGTAGGGATATGACGATTATGTGATGTATATGATGCGTCTCTGCTGTTGGTTGTAATATTGGTGAAGTAAATCCACACTTTGCTGAAGAAGCGTTAGCAAACTCTTGAGCAGCAACAACAGTACCATGTACTCCGCCATTGTTGTGTATGTTTGTTCGCGCTTGCCTTTAAAATCTACTCGTACTGCGCATGTCTACATACCAACTACGCACGCGCATGACATCACCGTTTTCAAAGATTCTCGTTTTGGGTGTTTACACGGAAACGATAACGGTGACGTTTTCAAAAATAAACTTTGAAACCCGTTTTCAAAAATATGCGTTTTCAGTCCCCAAACCGCCGTTGTCGTGTAAACGAACAGGCAAAACGTATAAAAAGTTTACTGTTTTTGGCTGAAAAAAACTTAACCTAACTCAAAAAAATAATGCAACCTATCACACTCAACTTAAGTTTCCTCAACTAGCAACCGACAACTTAAAGGGATAGTTCACCCAAAAATGAAAATTCTGTCATTAATTACTCACCCTCATGTTGTTCCAAACCCGTAAGACCTTCGTTCATCTTCGGAACACAAATTAAGATATTTTTGATGAATTCCGAGAGCTCTCTGACCCTGCATAGACAGCAAGGATCCTAACATGATCAAGGCTCAGAATCATAGCAATGACATAGTTAAAATAATCCATGTGACATCAGTGGTTCAAAAGTATTTTTACGAAGCTACAAGAATACTTTTTGTGCGCAAATAAAACAAAAATAACAACTTTATTCAACAATTTGTCTCCTCCACGTCACCCTATAGCGGCATTTTGGTGAGTATCACATATGTAAACAACGTCTGTATGCGGATACATTGTTTACATTCAGATCAAAGCGTAAACAACGTATCCGCGTACGGTGCTGCTGACACAGAACAGCATACATTGTTTACGTTGTTTTCTTCAGTGAAACATTGAAGAATATATTTTGAAGAATGTGGGGGGGGAAACAGTTAATGGTACCCACTGACCTTAATATCTTAAAAATATCATCTTTTGTGTTCAACAGAAGAAAAAATATCATACAGGTCATATTTAAATTTTTTTGGATGAACTATCCCTTAACACGCACACAAAAAAACTGATAATATTATAATAATTTTCTTTGTTTTAGTATAGCGACAGTATAAAAACTAATTAAATTTAATTGAATTCTTTTTTGGAAACAACATTTTGTCTATCACGCTCTTAATAATGCTTTCTCTCAGCATATATTTTAGGAAGTGGGTCCTTCACAGATCATATTTAAGGGTTCCTGATCAATACATTTGTTGATGTATTTGTTGAATGGCATCTGTGCTGTTTCAGGTGACAGTGAGTGTTAATGGAATGATAGGCACTCATAGCTGGCTGCCCTACGACAAGAACATAGCTAATTATTTCACCTTCACCAGAGACCCCACTGTGAGCAACCCAAAGTAAGTTTGAACATGTACATATGTCTAAACACATTATATAATCATGTTCAGAGACTTGGTGACTTTCATATAGTTTTAAAGACAAGAGGTTTTGATTAGGCACAAAGTTATTTTTATAGTGACAACATTGGGCTTTGGACAAATAACCAAAAGCTTTATAGCAGCTTATAAATAGCAGCTCTTTGACATTAAACTCTGGTGGTTTGGCTGCTTTGGTCTCTATGAATGTTCTTCAGTTAAATTGGGTCCTTTGTAGTAAAAGCTAATTTGTTTTCCCGAGCCTTTCTTGTTGTTTTTGAGTGGTCTGCTAACATGTGTCGAATCCGATGCTTAAACGTAACATTGATCTATTTCGAATGTTCTCCCGCTGACAAGTTTAGTCCCATTTGTTGGTACTAACCTTTTGTTGGATCTGTTTTTAGGACCCAGCGGTTCCTCAGCGGGCCGTTCTCCCCAGGGGTGGAAATCGGGTCCCAGGTGCTGGTGGTGTCCACTGACGGGCGTCTGCTGTTCAGTGGGGGGCACTGGGACTGCCGCATTAGGGTCACTATGTTAGGCAAGGCCAAGCTGGTGGGCAGGATCTGCCGTCACATAGGTGAGAGCCGTCTGTCCGACACAGACGTACCCAAATAGTACAAAGCCAAGGCTCAGCTGTAGGCATTGGAATGAGCTTGATGGAGCTGTTGAGCTGAATCCTACATAAGATTAGCTGCCGTCAGATTTGGCAGAGATTTTTGATGAATCATTTGTTGCTGAAACAGAACCATTAACCCTGTAAAGCCTGAAATATGATAAAAATGTAAAAAAAAAAAAGTTTGCATGTGTGTTTTTAATGAGTATCATAATTGATACATGAGGTGTTTATGACTCATGTCGTATGAGGCCCAAGCTGAGCAAAATTATGCAATTTGGTTCAGTTGCTGGTATTTATATTTATATATTACTTACATAAGTGCATGTCTCCCAGTAATGTCATAGTAAGATGATATTTAAATGCTTATGATCAAAACTTAATGCATTTCAATACAATGATGATTCAGAGATTCAAATAAACATTCCTCAAAGGCCTGATGTATCATATTTGATATTCACATTTTATCAAGGTTTTTCTAAAAAAAAAAAAAAACCTGTATAGAAAATCAAGTAAACCAAAGTTCCTTCAGTCCAGTAAGTGTTCATCTTGAAATATTGCTAACAGTGTAAAGTTTACTTTAGTTATAAATATCTGTAAATATTAGACAAATTTTGAGTTATACTAAAAGGTATTTTACTTTCTTAAAAGTATAAAGGGCAGAAAGCATGTAGTAGATTGTGTGCAACAAGTTTTCAGCAGTTTTGACCATGTTGATAATTTAGAGGCCTTAGAAATTTGACAGCTCTCTCTTGATTTCAACTTCTCAGAAGATGTGTGGTGCAAATTGCTAATTATATAATGCATTTGATTATGAACAAATGTCCTGATGGCTAAATAATGTGCTTTTTTGTGGGATATAGATGTGGTCACATGCCTGGCTTTGGATCTCTGTGGTATCTACCTCATCTCTGGCTCACGAGACACCACCTGCATGGTGTGGCAGGTCCTACAGCAGGTTTGCTCACACAAAATACTTGTGCTTAGATAACAAGTTAATACAAAAATAAAAGGGTGTGAAGGGTACATCTGCACCCATGAGCAGTCATTTAAATTTGAACAGAATGTACACTGTCGTACAATTTTTTTTTTTTTTTTTTTTTTTTTTACAATGTTAATACTTTTATTATGCAAGGGCACAAAAACATTGATCAAAAGTAGCAGTAAAGCAGCGAATCAGCATATTGGAATCGTTTCTGAAGGATCATGTGACACTGAAGACTGGAGTAATGATGCTGAAAATTCAGCTTTGCCAGCACAGGAATAAATGACATTCAAAAATAATCGTTTTTAAAATAGAAAGTTATAGAAATAGAAAAGTAATTTTAAATTGTACTAATATTTCACAATACTGCTGTTTTTCAAAAACATTAAAAAAATTGTACAGACCCCAACATTTTTGAATGGTAGTGTAAATAGCCAGGAATAGAAATCAAATGCGTCAAAATATCAAATTTATGCTTTAATATCTGGGTGTTTTCTCACATTATGTGTTAAGTGTTATTAACTTAAATCAGTATTTATTTAACTGATAATTACTTGAAGCCCTTATTGTAATGTTGTTATTAATTTGTTAATATTTATTTTTATATTTAAGTTTTGAAATAAAAGTGTGCTCAGGTACTTTTTGGCTGTTATCAAGATTGGTGTTATTTTACTGATCTACAGTCATTTAGCTATTGCGACAACTATTGCTATTGTGATTGGTCTATATGTTGCTATTATAAGTTATATAATACTACGTTGAATTAAAGAAAAATAGTTAGCATGGTTATGTATTATAACTAGTGAGTGTATTTTTTACATGTAGGGTGGTTTCTCTAGCGGTCTGTCTCCACGGCCCGTGCAGGTGCTCTGTGGACATGATCAAGAGGTCGCATGTGTCGCCATCAGCACTGAGTTGGATATGGCGATCTCAGGGTCAAAGGTCAGTTTAGATCAGACCACTTCAGGAGTTACTGCATTGCCGTTAGGAATCATGAGTTGATGACTTTTCTCTCTGTTGCTCTTTTTCTCTCGTTCAGGATGGCACAGTAATCATGCACAGTGTGCGTCGTGGACAGTACCTGCGGACCCTGAGACCGCCGTGTGAGAGCTGCCTTGCTGCCCCTGTGGCACACCTGGAGGTCGGCATGGAAGGGCACATAGTGGCACAGACTGTTATGGAGGGCCGCACTGCTGGAAAGGTGCTGATTGACAATATTTGTCAGAAGAGACTAGTGTTTTTGAGTTATTGTGAGAATGGAAATTAACAAAAACCAATTGTAAACCAAAAAATGCTTTATGTAAGACCAATGCTTCTCAAATCTGGCCTGCACACCTGTTTTTTTAAGAAGAGTTTTTGGGGGGTATTTGATTTTTTATATATATATGTTTTTTTGTGCCTGTAGGAGAAGTATGCACTGCATGTGTACTCTGTGAATGGCACTCTCTTAGCATCTGAGACCTTGGACGAGAAGATTTCAGCTTTGCATCTGGTGCCTGACTACCTCATCGTAGGCACACAACAGGGGAACCTTCACATTCGAGACTTGTACAGGTAAACACACCTCTAATGGTCATTTTAAATGTACACCTTGTTTAAAGGTTTGTAGACAGTATTTTTTATTTTTTTTATTTTTATGTACAGTGGGTACGGAAAGTATTCAGACCCCCTTAAATTTTTCACTCTGAAAGAAGTAAATATTTTATTATAATTTTATTTAGTGTGGACATTTTGATTTGTATGAAAGCCCATTTCTTCCACTGAATAAAAAATAAAAAGGTAATTGTGACTTTTTATTTCACAATTCTGACTTTTTTTTTCTCGCAATTGCGAGTTTACATCTAGCAATTCCGATTTTTTTTTTCTTTCAGAATTGCATGATACAAACTCACAATTCTGACTTTTTTCTCAGAATTGTGAGATATAAACTCACAACTGCGAGAAATAAAGTCAGAATTGCGACATAAAAACCTGCAATTCTGACTTTTTTCTTGCAGTTGTGAGTTTATATCCCGCAATTCTGACTTTATAACTTGCAATTGTGTGACTTTTTTTTTCTCACAATTCCGAGTTTATATCTCGCAATTCTGACTTTTTTTCTCCGAATTGTGAGATATAAACTCGCAACTCGAAAGTCAATTGTTTCTCGCAATTGCGATTTTATATCACGCAATACTGACTTCATAACAAGCCATTGCGAATTTAGATCTCTTAAAGTTCTGAGAAAAAAAGTCAGAATTGCTAGTTTGTATCTCGCAATTCTGCGGGGGAAAAAAAGGTCAGAATTGCGAGATGTAAACTTGCAATTGCCAGAAGCCAGAAATGGGCTTCCATAGATTTGACTAAAATTTCAGTAAAGCCTTTTTAAAAAAAAAATGCTGTTGTTTTGAATTTTATATTTCTCAAAAAAAAATCTACCGTTTTGAACATTCATAATAATAACAAAATGTTTCTTTAGCAGCATATTAGAATGATTTCTGAAGGATCATGTGACACTGAAGACTGAAGTAATTGCTGCTGAAAATTCAGTTTTTTGTCATTAACTCTTTCCCCGCCATTGACGAGTTATCTCGTCTTTTAGAAGACAACGCTTCCCCGCCAAAAGACAATAAATTACACTTGAATAGAAAATAGAAAACAGTTTTAAATTGCAATAATTTTTTTAAATATTACAATTTTTACTATACTTTTGATCAGACAGATGCAGCCTTGGTGAACATAAGAGACTTCAGTAGTGTAGGCGAACTGTACAGCTGCTCAGCTTAGCACGAGCTGTTTGATCATATTCTTTGATATTTTTTCCCATTGTAGTAGATGCATTCTTAATAAATCCTTTGTGTCATCACAGTAAATCTTCAGCAGCTGGGTCCATATTTGCTTCTCATTCCCAAGTCTCTTTTTCTCTGTCTTTGCGTGTGTTTAGTTTGAATCTGGCTGTTGCGCCCTTGGCCCTGAAGGTCCCTGTGCGCTGTGTGTCTGTCACGAAAGAGAGCAGTCATATCCTGGTGGGCCTGGAGGATGGCAAACTCATTGTGGTGGGAGCAGGAAAACCGGAAGAGGTGAGGTGGAGGGGTTGCCAGTAGGTTTTTACTGCCTGAAATAAATTCCATGCTGCTAAACTGTTATTAGTACATCATAATGCTGACAAGGCACAATTTACACCTTTAAAAAGGTTTGATTTTTAAAACAGTTTACTTTTACATTATAAGTGTATGAATTGAAAAAATAACGGCATATGTACTAAATATTGAGGAAACTGTAAAAATGAACTTTAAAAGAAATTACTTTTTAATTTCTATATATATATTTAAAAAAATGAATCCATGCAATCAACAACTGATGAATAGAACCAAGTTCCCTTCCTACGTTTTTTATTTTTTTATAATTCGTTACTCAGAAGTACATAGCAGTGCAGAAGAAAAGACATGTTGCTACTTCTGTGAGGTTATAGTGTTATTAGTTCATCATTATGTTGATAGGCACATTTATATGCTATTATGTGTTATAAAGTCAGAATTGTAAGTTTAATATCTCGCAATTCTGACTTTGTCTGATAATTGTGAGCTTATATCTCACCGTTCTGACTTTGTAACACACAATTGTGAGTTTCTATCACGCAATTCTGAGAAAAAAAGTCTGAATCGTGAGATAAAATGTTGCAATTACTTTTTTAGTTTTTATTCAGTGGTGGAAAGAAGCTTCCATAGTGAATATTAATAGAAACAGTGGGAAAAAAATGTAAATAAAAAAACTATGATTATTCAAAATATACAATTATTTCTAAAATATACTATTATTTATTGTTAGTTCTTAATTAATGTATTGTTAAAATGTGTTTTTAAAATGTGCATGAGGAAATTAATATTAACCAAGATTAATAAATGCTAAAAAAAAAATAATAATTGTCTGTTTTAACTATTGGGTAAACTACAATGGAAGCCCATTTCCGCCACTTAATAAAAAATAAAAAAGGTAATTGCGACATTTTATCTCGTATGTGATACAAACTCGCAATTCTGACTTTTTTTCTCAGAACTGTGAGATGTAAACTCACAGTTGCGAGTTAGAAAGTCAGAATTGTGAGATATAAACTCGCAATTCTGACTTTTTTTCTCAGAATTGTGTGATATAAACTCGCAATTGTGAGTTATTAAGAGTTATAAACTTGCAATTCTAATTTTTTTCTCAGAATTGATAGTTATTATGTCAGAATTGTGAGATATAAACTGGACTTTATACCTTGTAATTGCGAGTTTATACTCACGGTTTTGAGAAAGAATATCAGAATTGTGAGATGTAAACTCGCTATTGCGAGAATTGCAGAATTGTGAGATAGAAAGTCGCAATGACCTTTTTAAAAAAAAAAAAATGTATTCAGTGGCGGAAACGGGCTTCCATAAACTACTGTATCATGTTACCAAAAAAAAAAAAAAAGAGATCGCCTTCCCTTTGTTACAGATGTTAATTTATGTGTAACTTATGTGTTTAATTTTTACTTGAGTCAGCAATTTCTTTTCTCAAGGACTAAAAAATTCAATATTTAAACCTTTCTCCTAATTCAGGTGCGGTCTGGGCAGTTTTCCCGCCGACTGTGGGGCTCCACACGCAGAATCTCCCAGGTGTCCGCAGGAGAGACCGAATACAACCCTGTCGAGCCTCCTGCTAAATGAGCCCCTGCACATGCCTTCAGCAAACACTGTGCATCCACAAGAGATGAGAGCGTCGGCGCTCCTGCACCACTCGTCCGCTTTCCTGCCCTTCTAAAACAGAGAGCTTGGGAACAAGAGTTAAGGGAACACAAGTGGTGAACATCCAAACATGCACTTTTATACAAAAAGGGAAAAGAACATTCTTCTCGAAAATGCAATGGTTTGTACTGCTTTTAACAGACAAACATTCCAAAGATTTTTGATCAGGCGAATCAGGCAGTCGCCTGCAAACTTTTTAAGCGTTGACGGCTAAGACTGAACTTTTTAAAAGCAGTATGTTCTGTCCTGTGAATCACAGACTGTCTTCTCACTGGCTGGAGCTCAGTGTGATGGACTTAGTCTCTTGTCACTGAGTGACAAACCGTCATCACCTGAGCCGTTTTATAGTATAGTAGATCTTATGCTGATTTTTGCTTTTGTACACTGGTACTCCGTCTGACACTTGAAAACCTTCTTATATTAAACAATATGACGCCAGATTTTTCCATGGGACGGGCACCAATAGAGACATTTTAGCTCTGTGCATGTACAATATGTGGGTGTGTGTGTTTGTATTGCTTTGCACGGTTACTTGCAGACGCTTTGTATAACGCAATAATTAATGTGACGCCTAAATTAGAACAAGATCCTTTCACTCTTGTTTAATGGTGTGAAGCGCTTTGAGCCCTACTAAGTCTTGTGACTTGATTCAGTACCTCTGGTGCCTTAAAACAGGTAAACAATAGAAATGATTATGACATGAAATGTATTAAAGGGGTAGTTCACCTGAAAATGAAAGTTTTGTCATCATTGACTCACCCTTATGGTTCCAACCCTGTATGACTGACCTTCTCCTGAAAAAAGAAAATTATAATGTATATATTACATTTTATATTTGAGTTTTATATATGCATGCGTGTATATGTATATATATATATATTTTTTTTTTTTTTTTTTTCAATTCAATATGGTCCATAATTACGTTTTTAAAAGATATTTTTAAAAATGTTGTCTTTTGTGATTGAAAAAAAATATACAAATTTCGGAACAACATGACATGAGTAAACGATCACAATCTTAATTTTGGGGTGAACTATCTATTTACTTAATTAGGTTCTGCTCATAAAAACAGCTTTTTTCAATATTGGCACACATTTATCTCTTTCACACTGTGTAAATCTTTCATATCCTGTTATATATTATAAAAGGAAGTGCCTATCCTGTTATGGATTTGCACAGCCATCACAAAAATCGTGAGTACGAGTGCACTTACGTGTTTGTTTTTTCCACTGTAGGGCAGTGCGCTTTCTAAAATGGGCATAAATTGTACTTGATATAAAAGCGCTTTTGGCTTCTTTTCATATAATAGCTGGGAAACGGTTTCAGCACATCCTCACATGACGCTTAACGTGCTGTGCTTATAAACTCATTTACAGAAAATCTAAATCTTAACAGGAATTTTATCCGTTTTTAACTCCGCATAGTGCCTCAACTGTGTTCTTCACTGTAATTATGAAACTATTTGTAATATGTGAACCATACACCAGCTAGTCTTAATTGTTCTGTGAATGTGTTCGTTGGCTGGGGCCACAATTCTGTCTATGTTACCATTGGAATTTGGTGGGGGGTTTTTTTCTTCTCTTGACGCACTGAATGCTTTGAAGGCTGTGCTGTGTGAGGGGTGTCTGTGTGACACATGGGTATAGGGGGGAGAGAGCAGAGGACACATCTTGCTGGCTTCTCTGGGATAGTTGCGTTAATTCTGCTGCTCTGCGCTGGATAGCAAAGCCAGCAGAGAAACTGAAGCACCGAGCACAATGGCCAGCAGTTATACACTGTTTAAAGGGATAGTTCACCTGGAAATTATATATTTTTTAGTGCTGGGCAACGATTAATCGTGATTAATCGCATTTCAAATAAAAGTTTTTGTTTATTAATTGTATATGTGTGTGTAGGCTACTGTGTATATTTATTATGTATATATAAAGACACACATACAGTATATATTTTACAACTATTTACATGTATATATAATTTATATTATATAGAAATATATTTCATATATAAACAACATATTTTTCTTAAATGTATACATGCATGTGTGTGTATTTATAAATAAACAATAATAAATATAATATATATACACATAATAAATATACACAGTACACACACATATATGTACACAAAAACGTTTATTTTGGATGCGATTAATCGTTGCCCAGCACTAATGTTTTTCCCAGTATTTACTCACCTTTGTGTTGTTTTAAACTCATGACTTTCTTTCTTCTGTTGAACACAAGTAATTGTTACAATGCATGAACACTGGGTCTTTTAGACAGAAAAGCAGCATAAAAGTTATCCATAAAACTTGCATGTTACGTTTTCTGAAGTTGTTCGTGTGAGTAATAAACGGTGTTATTTGCTAAAAATCTTCCCCTCAGGTGAGCTGTTATAACTGCTGTGACCGGAACACTGAGTCAGTTTGATTCATGAACGAATCATTCAGGCTTTGTGAACTCGGTCGTTCACTGAAACGCTCCAACTAAAAAGAACGGTTTGTTCATGAATAATGACTTAAAGTTCCGCACACAAAGTTACTGTATGAGTTCAGAAGTGAAATATAGTGTCGTATGGATCACTTTTTATATGGTTCTTTTGAAGCTTTAGTCAACATTCAGTTTAATTACATGAATGAGAGCAACCAGAACAAATCTTCTAAATCCTCTTTTTGTGTTCCATGAAAGAAAAAAAAGTCATACCGGTTTGGACCGACATGACGGGGAGTAAATGATGACAGTTTTAATTTTCTTCAGTGAGTTATTCCTTAAATACAACATTGTCCTCTGTATCACGTTCACTCGTAGTTCAAACACTGCCACTGAAATTATTAGCTTAAGGGATTTTTAAAAAATGTGCGTTACTTTTTACTGCGTTTCATCGCTACACACGCACAAACCCTTGCACACACACTCTCTTGTTTGAGTTTTGTCTTGAAGTTCCAACAATAGAATTTCATTTGTGTTGGGAAACTGAAGCCAGAAGAGATTAAGTCCTGTTTTTATGAAATGCTTACGACTAAACCACTCCACAATTCTTATGCAGTTACTATGATGTTGTCGAACGGGATGAATTATGTTAAACCTCGTATCTGTTCGAACAAATAAAGGCTTCAGAAGAGATGTAAACAGCCATTCTCTGTTTCACAGCCTTCCTGTCTGAGTGAGTGATGTGATTGTGTAAATGTATATGGTTTCTTTGAATTAAAAATATTAGTCTGTATCAGTTGACTTGAGTTGTGACTTTTCATCAGTGTTATTTTAGGTTCATTGAGATACTGTTATAGATTTTATTGTAGTCATTTTTATATATATATATATATATATGTCTATTTTTAAAATGTGTGGGTCTTAAAGTCTTAATTCACCCTTCCACACATTAAGGCCTAAATAGGTCCTAAATTGAAGCAGAACTTCATGGCCTTAAATATTGGCATTATATGTACTGAAAAAAATATCTTCCTCTCAGTATTTTTGTTTTCCAATACAAAAATCTAAACATCCTTAAATCAAGGTATTAAATGTAACGAGTTTTAAATGTAATGAAGCTTCGATTTCTGAGATATTGAGCAAAATGAAGTTAGTTTATGCTTAACACAAGAACAAACATACAGTATGTCCTTAGGGAATGAAAACTTGTTTTCCCTTTGAATTAATTTTCTGAGAAGTTGTATTTTCAAACTTTGAAGACATTTATGTTTAGAGGCCATACTGACATATTGTGTTCCATGTCAATTTATTTTTTAAATATTCTTTACTGGGTCCTAAGTCTTAAATGTATCTTCATAAAACCTGCAGAAACCCTGTATATAGTTTTTATTCATTTTAATCTCAGTCATTTTAGCACATCAAGTTAAACTAAATGAAAATGAAAACTGTTGTCTTGGCAGCTAGCTGAAATGAAATTTTTCATGTTTTATTTGATTGATTTATTTTACTTCTAGTAACAAACATATTTTTATGGTTTTAGTTAACCCTGCTTTTCATCCAATAATCTAAATATTGTAATGCATTTTTTATTTTCAGTTGCACTTTTTCATAAAAAAGTAAACCTAAGCATTTGTCATAATTAATCTTACATTGTATTATTCCCTCTTCGATTTGACTCCAAGATGCTTAAATGCAGGTTGTATATGTCCTTTCTCAAATCAAGTCTGTGTTTCTCTCTGACGTCTCAGCCTTTTCTTCCCTCCTCCTGTCCTGACGTGTTAAACCCTATTAGAGTTGAAGAGGTCACAGTTACACCACATTTATCTGAGCCGGGAATCCTTTGATCTCCCGATGGGCTGAACATCCTGTTGGCTGACCCATAAACACCCCAAGGGGTACGTTTGAGTGGATGACCGTGGAAGGGGGCTCGGCTCTGGCATGGAGGGATGGAATGCGCCTCGTCCAGTCACTACATGCAGCAGAGCAGAGAGGAGATGGGACGAGCTGGTTATGGTGGCAATTCGGCTCTGATCTGTTTGGCTAACAATGGGAGGAGGGCTTGACACCTTGCTCTTAGTAGAACCAGGCATCCCCCCACCCCCAAAAAGAAGAGACCGGGGTTAAAACCAGGGTCCTGACAATCACTTGCTGTCTGGGTAGTTCCTGAACCACAACAACCTGCAAACAACCACAAAGCCTCCGTCTCCCCCAACCCCCTTATCCCATCCCTGCGTTGTAAGGCCGTGGAATCATCTTCCATCAAAGTTTTATTATTTCTTTGCTGTGATCTTCAAATTCACACTTTGGTAACAGCTTGCCAAAAACTTTGCATCTGGGTTTATAGTTTTGTCCCTGCAGTTTTCTGTCGACTATGAACCAGAGATTGCAAACTGTAAAAACTTGTTAATGACATTGTTAATGACACAAGACATGGGTGTTGGCATGTGTTTAATTCATAAAAAAAAAACAGTTCACACTAAGAGCGATAACTGTAGCGATAACTATACAATATCTATATTAGACATTACTATAGTGCCCACACCAATGAACAGTAACGTTCTGTTTATTATAATTAAGCACATTAAAAGGTCGTCTGGCATTTTAAGTGCTCAGACTCTTCTGGATTCTAATTGGCTGCCAATGTTTTTATAGTTCATTAGCTGGAAAAAAAATCGATTCCGTTTAAATTGTTTGTCTGTAGCTGAGGGGCGGACTTCACTATTCTCATAAAATTCAAACGATAGTTAAAACTTTATAGTTATCAGCCTCAATGTGAATCGGCGTTAAGTGTGCCCCTATTTTTGGTGTTTAGGCCCATTCACATCACAAACGATAACTAAGAAGGTAACTGTAATGATAACAGCATCCACTTAATAATAATTCATTCCTTACATTTATATACCGCTTTTCTGGGTACTCAAAGCGCTTTACAGGGTGGGGGTGGGGGGGGATCTCTTCATCCACCACCAATGTGCAGCATCCACCTGGATGATGCGACGGCAGCCATATTGCGCCAGAACGCCCACCACACACCAGGTAATTGGTGGAGAGGAGACAGAGTGATGAAGAATATGAATATGGGGATGATTAAGAAGCCATGATGGTCAGAGGGCAATGGGCAAATTTGGCCAGGATGCCGGGTTACACCCCTACCCTTGTCTTCATTTTACAATAACGTTCCATCGCTTTATTATGTGTGTCTGTCACTTTAATTGCTTGAGCTGGAGAGATTCTGATGGGCTGTCTATGTTTCTATCATTCATCAGCTGGAAAAATTGTTCTGAATGTATTCCAACAACATCGCTCCTCTGTATCGTTACCATTGTAGTTGTGGTGAAGACTAGTCTCATAGAATTCAAACCGTTATTTAAACAGTTTATTTTATTTTATTTTTTTGCATGGCCTCACGGGATAGTAGGCTTAAATGTCCACCAGATTCCCACTGTGAAATCTCCGAGGCATAATAGGTCCTCTCGTACGGTTTTATGAATAAATTCATACTACTTATTTTGCTTACTATTTTCTATAGACCTTATAGTCAATTTAGATGCCATATTAAGTAAAACGAGGCTGTGGGGGATAGACTTCGTTTTTACAATGGCACACACTGTATAAAGGTCGTAGATCACATAATTTTTACAACTCACAACTTTCAATATTGTTTTATGACTGCTCTGGTCTACCAAAATTTGTATTTATTTTTATTTTCCCCAGAAAGACGTTTTGTCACCTGAACAATCTGTTAAACAATGTACAATCCATTGAACACACAATGCACTTCTATCCCCGCAGCCTCATTTTCATCGGTGTTAAACTTAATATGGCATCTAAATTGACTAAGGTCTATAGAAAATAGTAAGCAAAATAAGTACACTCTTAAAAATAAAGGTGCTTCACGATGCCATAGAAGAACCTTTTTGGTCTAAATGGTTCCATAAAGAACCTTTAACATCTGAAGAACCTTTCGGCTTCACAAAAGGTTCTTTGTGGCGAAAGAAGGTTCTTCAGATTATAAAAAGGTAAGAAAGAGATGGTTCTTTAAAGAACCTTTGACTGAATGGTTCTTTGTGGAACCAAAAATGGTTCTTCTATGGCATCGCTTGAAGAACCTTTTGAAGCACCTTTATCTTTAAGAGTGTAGTATGAATTTAAAATAAGTAGTATGAATTAATTACAAAACATTTACGTTACAAGTGAAACACACGTGTGTAAAAAAAACACACCCTTTTATGTGTAGGCCTACATCTTTAATTTTATGTTAGATAATTTTATCATGTTTATTAAACATATCAAATAGCCTAGATCAAACAAAAACAAAATTGGATTTGAGCCAATAACATTAAAAGTCATAGCTTTATTCATTCCAGTTATTCCTGCAAAAATTGCGCTATTTTAGGGGACACTGGTTGCCATGTTAATCTGTCAAAAGTTCTATCTGAGGTTTAGCTAATATAGGCCTGTATAATGTATAAAGTCCACATTCGCAAATTTTAACAAACTGTCAGCAAAGATAGAAAGAATAAGAATAAGTAATAACTCTGTAAACTGACAGGGCATCTTCAATAAAGAAGCGCCCTTTAGGCCCGTTATTTACTCTAGCAGCTCTCTACTCACAGTTTCAGTCATTAAGGGCTATTGACACCATGAACGAAAGGAAAAGCGAAACGAATCGGCGACGAATTAATAGAACATCATCTCTTCTTTACTTTATCCCGTTTCTTCGCGGTCATTCTTTGAAGCGATATGATCATTGTATGCGAGGGAAGTCTCCATTTGTTTCTTTCTGAAGTCTGGAGACCCCATGCGGAGTTTTACGACGTTACTCAAAAACCCCTCAGATCTGAAAACTTACTGTTGTGTCTCGTTTTTTATCTCAAGTCCCCAACTGAAGTCTCGGCCGGGCAAAATGGGCTTTTAATCTGCTCTATTAGCTGTTTTCAGTCCAGAAATAAAACCACAGTAGGCCTATTCGTACAAAATGTCAGTGTTTTGGATAAACTGCAGTTATTGTAATAGCCTACATATTTTAGCAGAAAATAACAAAAAGAAAACAAGAGAGATATATCTTTTTTTAAATGCCAATAACATTTAAAAAAATATTTGTGTGACACTGGTCTGTTGTATTGCTGATATGGCCATGTAATAAATGAGCACTAGAATTATTTTCCCAGAAGAATGGAAGATCTATCAACTTTTCTCCATCGCGCTCCAGTCTGTCCAATCACAGAGCTCCTGTGAGGCGCTGCGTGTATCTGGAGGTTTATGTCCATCCCCTTCAGCAAAAGCTATTTAGTCAACAGCTGAGCGTGACCAGAGCAGCAGTTGAGTGAAGGATCAGCACTAACTAGCAGATTTCACTGTGGACACAGACAAAGAGATGATGTATTAATGTTTTGAAGCTTCATACGAGGATTATCCGTATTTACTGTTACAGCATACAGTTTCACACTGGAAGTCTCGAAGAAAAATCTTATGTGAGAAGAAGACTGTTCAAATCTATGGAAGAGAGTGCCAAACACTTTGAACACGGACTGTAGATGTCTAATGTTTATGCTTTGTGGTTATGAACATTAGTGGGGTTTGAGCACAAGAGACTCGTTGTATTATACTATCCCAAACACTGAGGAAATCTCCTTAAGATGAAGGGAGTAATGGCAGCACTTCAACTCTGTTTGTGGATCTTGGCTGTAAAGGTGAGTTATTCGTTATTCTGCTTTACAGTATCTTATATATATGACATTTAAACTCGTAACAGTTCGTTTCGTTTTTTATTTGAGTTCGGGTGGCTGTAAACACAGTTTTCACTATTCATATTTTCCAACGTTACTAGGTCTTTCCAGTTGCTTTTTAATTAGCCTACACGAGCGCGTTGTAACACTTTGTGGTTTACGTCTGTAACGTCTATAAAGTGTATTTCTTTCGCTATGTATCTCACAGTTTTGATATAGTTTTTCCATGTCTGCTTCGAACTGAAATACTTTAGAAACCCACAACTTGTGAATTTAATGTCAATTAATGTAAAGTTCAGAAAAGTGTGCTGTTACAACCTACTCTTTGTAACACTAATAAAGTGTATTGTGGTAATTAAATGTACTTGTCCAAAATAATTAAACTACACCCACTCTTATTTCATTTTAAACAATTTTATTGAAACATGTAGGATATTTTAATTCAAAATAAATAAAAAATGTAAATAAATTCTGAGACAAAAAAAACAAACAAACAAGCTAATGTCTCTAAAACTAACAGACCAAGACTTTAGTTTGGCAAGTGTGGCATATAGAAATACATTGGATAGTGTTACAAGTGTTACAATTAATGTTATAGTATCACATTAATCAGGAGAATCTGATTCAGATGACACCTCTTTCATTTAGCATTCTTTAGCATATTCAAAAAATTAAATAAGTCTGACATTGAAGTTTATTTTCTTACCTCAAAATAGCTTGTTTCGAATTTGTTCAACTGAAGGTGTTACAATTCAACTGCGTTACAACACCCCGCATTCTCCCCTAGAATGTGTTTTGAACTAGCATATTAGTCTGTCAGGGATTCCATATGATTGATGATATGTTTTTTGCAAATGTGTTGTAGGCCTATTATGCAGAATGTTATTTTTCGGTACTTGTGTGGATAATATGTTCCTTTTATGATTAGTTTTTACACCGCATATTTGCCTGGCACAAAAGTAAAGTGGTCAAGGACAGGAAAGTAACACCCTTTGTCTCTTAGGACGTGCATAGCACAACTTCTGTGTTTTTTTTTTATCACACTGATTCAGTGTAATATCCTGATTTTGTTCACAGTGAGTATAAAATGTTCAATATTTACCATCCAAATGGAAAGATAACTCATCATGTTTTCCAAATGACAAATTATGCTCCAAGAAATACGCCCTGCAGATGTCAACGCAGAGTCAAATGGCCTTATGATTTATTCCTGTTAAACCGAACACCAAAATAAAAGGCTGCTTTGTCACTCCAAATTAAGACAGTAAATCACAAAACAACTGTTTTTTCTGTTCTGCCACTTGTTACACAAAATGAACATTTTTGCTTGATGATTCTGCACTCTTTTCAGGTCAGTGGTAGTTAATGCATTAAATGCTACTGGCCTGATCGAGATCCATGTCTCCTGGTGTGTTCAAACAGTCTGTGGGGGAGCCAGGGATAGCAGCAGACCAACCCCCCACGTCTGTTGGTTGATAGGCAACCACAGCTTAAGCACTGCTGGGGCCCGGGATATCCGGAGCATTGTAATTATCATCATTTTCTCTTGGTCTGTGGAGAGCGAGAGGGTAGAATTTGCAGCTCAGTAATTTGACTTTCTATTTAGCCACATCACTTTACTTCTTTCGGTGGGGGCAGAATCGCGGTTTCCTCTTGAACTCACAACCTCGTTTTTTTTTTTTCTCCCTTCTCTCTTGTTCCCGTCTTATTTTGATAGAAAAGCCCACTGTCTCTGGCGGCAGACTGACACTTTTGTAAATGGTCTTGAAGTTCTACAGGCCCGAGGCCATGTTTAGCCTGCCGTTTAATGTTTTCTGACTCATTTGTGAAACGTAGCTTCTGCTCCTGTTGGCTGCAGTGAGATAAGATAGCGGTCAGTCACTCAGTCTCTAGCTCAGTCTCTGTGGATGTCTATGGTTGTATGTTTGGTTGGTGGGGGTGAGGGTCAATCACGGTTGCTTCCTGGGGCTCATGGATCCTTTCATGTTCTCATCATTCTCTTTCCAAACTCACTCATGGGCAGCACACATGTGCTCATACATTATATTGTACAGCAGTGGACTTAAGGCAAGACAACCCAGGTGAAAAAAACTAATAGATATCACCCAGTTGATTGATAACATTAATAATTGCAAAAGTTGTTTTAAGTTTATGGCATTGTATAATTAAATATGTACTGATTTCCATATATTTTCCAGAACAAAAAACCTGAAGATTGAATAAAGCCAGGTTCAAAATTCTTGTTTCATTTTGTTGACATATTAGAGTTTTTACAATCGGGATTTTGGATATATTATTAAAAAAAAATATTGGATTTTTTTTTTTAGAAGATTGCCTTTAAAATATGTATTTTAATTTAAATCTATAGATGCAAATAGATGCAATAAGTGCAATAAAATTATTTGGATGTTACTCTGAATGAAGACATGTTATTAAATCTCAAAACTGACAAGAGAATGAAAAAACAATGTTTTTTTGTCTGTAGTGTCTTGCCTTAAAAGGATAGTTTACCCAAAATGGAAATTCTGTGATCATTTACTCACTTTCATGTCATTCCAAACCTAACTTTGTTTCTTCTGGGAAACACACAAGACGTATTTTGAAATGGTTTTGGACACTTTTGACTTGAACAAAAACAGTTGAATTCTTGTTTCATTTTGTTGACATATTAGAGTTTTTACAATCGGGATTTTGGATATATTATTAAAAAAAAATATTGGATTTTTTTTTTTAGAAGATTGCCTTTAAAATATGTATTTTAATTTAAATCTATAGATGCAAATAGATGCAATAAGTGCAATAAAATTATTTGGATGTTACTCTGAATGAAGACATGTTATTAAATCTCAAAACTGACAAGAGAATGAAAAAACAATGTTTTTTTGTCTGTAGTGTCTTGCCTTAAAAGGATAGTTTACCCAAAATGGAAATTCTGTGATCATTTACTCACTTTCATGTCATTCCAAACCTAACTTTGTTTCTTCTGGGAAACACACAAGACGTATTTTGAAATGGTTTTGGACACTTTTGACTTGAACAAAAACAGTTGAGACATTCTTCAAAACATCTTCTTTTGTGTTCTGCAAAAGAAATTTATACGTATGGATGTACACTTTCATTTTTGTGTGAACTGTCTTTACAAAAGATCGTATCATTCAGCAAGTGTGTGTGTGGGGTGTGTTTGACCTACATTTTGGGAACCAGTCAACAGTAAATGTGGCATCCAGACTGACATTGTCCCTCAGAGGAGGGAACGAAATGTTTGGGTAGATCAAAGATGTTTTGTGTGAAGTGGCTTCATTCAAATGCATTATCTCTCTGCATTATGTGGAATCAGCACTTAGGCTGGAAGTGTCTGTAATGTTTATGCCCCCCTCCCTTCCCTCCTCTCCTCTGAGCTCTACATTCCTGCTTCTGCCCAAATGTTTATAGGTGATATATCATTTGTTTGCACTTTGTACATTCTATTAAGCTAGACTTAGGTACAAATTATATAGTGATATATTGTTATGGAGGATGTTAAGATCCCCCCTAAGCTTACTGTGTTTGGTGAGTATTAAATACCATATTAGGAAACTGACAAAGAAAATTCCAATGATACTGCTCAGACATTTCTCTCTGTCTATCTGGGACTTCCCTTCCTTTCTGAGAAATATGTATTTTTCTTTTGTGTTTAATTTGTATTTTTATATGTATTCTTCATGCATATATACACATACTGTGGTGTGAAAGTTTTTGCCCCCTTCCTGTTTTTCTTATTTTTTGCATATTTGTCACACTTAAAAGATTCAGATCAAACAAATTTTAATATTACACAAAGATAACCTGAGTAAATACAAAATGCAGTTTTGAAATTATTTCATTTATTAAAGGAAAAAAGCTGTCCAAACCTGCCTGGCACTACGTAAAAAAGTAATTGCCCCCTAAATCTAATAACTGGTTCTGCCACCCTTTGCAGCAACAACTGCAATCAAGAGTTTGCAATAACTGGCAATAAGTCTTTCACATCGCTGTGGAGGAACTTTGGCCCACTCTTCTTTGCAGAATTGTTTTAATTCAGCCACATTGGAGGGTTTTCGAGCATGAATGGACGGTTTAAGGTCAGGTCACAGCATCTCATTCGGATTTAAGTCAGGACTTTGACTTGGCCACTCCAAAACCTTAATTTTGTTTTTCTTGAGCCATTCAGAGGTGGACTTGCTGGTGTGTTTCGGATCATTGTCCTGCTGCAGAACCCAAGTTCGCTTGAGCTTGAGGTCACAAACTGACGGCCGGACATTCTCCTTCAGGATTTTCTGATAGACAGCAGAATTCATGGTTCCATCAGTTATGGCAAGTCATCCAGGTCCTGAAGATGCAAAGCAGCCCCAGACCATCACACTACCACCACCATGTTTGACTGTTGGTATGATGTTCTTTTTATGAAATGCTGTGTTGGTTTTACGCCAGATGTAACGGGACACACACCTTCCAAAAAGTTCAACTTTTGTCTCATCAGTCCACAGAATATTTGCCCAAAAGTCTTGGGGATAAACAAGATATTTTTTGGCAAATGTGAGACAAGCCTTTGTGTTCTTTTTGGTCAGCAATGGCTTTTGCCTTGGAACTCTCCCATGGATGCCGTTTTAGCCCAGTCTCTTTCTTATTGTTGAATCATGAACACTGACCTTAATTGAGGCAAGTGAGGCCTGCAGTTCTTTAGATGTTGTTCTGGGTTCTTTTATCAACCCTCTACATTGCGAGTAAAGCACTCACATATGCGACTAAATCTTCACTCTGGGCGACTAAATAATGTCTAATATTAGCCAATGGCTAATAAATTCTTAGATTTTACTCGCCAGTGTGTGAATTAGAGGCTGAGTATATGATTAGCACAGATATATTTTCACTCACAGAACACTCTGACTGAGCGCTTCACAGTTTCACTCCGTCAAGCGATCTGTGATATGCGCACCTGTGTTTGT